GACCCCTTTGCCCTTCAGGACTGTCTCCCAAGGGACTCTCTCAACCAGTGTCCTGAACAGGGCAAAGTCCAACCTCTGAAAGTTCAGGATGGAGGTTTTGTTAACCCCCCTCCTTATAGCACTAAGAATTGAAAACTTAACCATGTTGTGATCACTAAGGCCAAGATGGCCTCCAACCACCCCATCTCCCACTAGTCCTGTGTTTATGAAAAGGAGGTCCAGTGAAACACTTCTCCTGATAGGCTTACTTACCAGGTGTGTCAGGAATCTATCTTCCACACACTTGAGGAACCTCCTAGCCTGCCTGCCCTCCACTGTGTTGTATTTCCAGCAGACGTGCAGTAGGTTGAAGCTCCCAACCAGAATAAGGGCTGGTGATTGTGAGACTTCAGCCAGCTGCTTGTAAAATACTTCATCTGCCTCCTAATCCTTGTTGGGTGGTCTATAACAGACTTCCAGCACAATATCTCACTTATTCACTTTCCCTTTCCTCCTTACCCAAAACCACTCATCTTTACCATCACTGCTATCAAGCTCTATACAATCAAAACTGCCTAACATACAGAGCCACACTTTCCCTGTTCATCCCTTCTTAAGAGTTTATAGCCATTCATTGCAGCATTCCAGTTATGACAGTCATCCTGCCACGTTTCTGTGATGGCAACTACACCATAGGTGTCCTGCTGCACAATGGCTTCCAGCTCATCCTGTTTGTTCCCCACATTACGTTCATTAGTGTAGATGCACTTGAGCTGGGCTACTGATTTCACCCCCATCCTTGGCCCTTCACCCCTATGATCAGCTCCAGTGGGCCTGGATTAATTCCCCTTCCTCTTCAAGTCTAGTTTAAAGACCTTTAAAGACCTCTGTTACCTTTTGCCCTAGTACCCTTTGCCCCCTGCAAGATAGGGTTTTCCCATCTGTTGCGAGCAGGTCTGGTTTCCTACAAATCAAGCCGTGGTCAAAAAACCCAAAGTCCTGCTGGTTTTGGAGCCAGGCATTGATCTATCTCTCTGTAACTTATCTTTTTCATATTTCCACTTTAACAGGGTGCATTTTTTTCTTGTATAGGATAGGTATTTTTACTTCTTGGCTGAATGCCTAATACAGCTGACAGCCAGCACGGAGAGATTACTCCAGATCACATATCCCTCTTAAAACACTTTTTAGTGATTTCTTCACATGTCTGACCAGCAGTGAAGAAGGATTACACTACTCTTATGAATTGCCCTTATGTTTAAATAATTTAAAGAAAAATATTTTAGAATTGGAAGACAACTACAGCTTTGAAATTATGTATTTCTTTGGAACATAATAGGCATCAGAAAGTTAAGCATGGAGTGAATGATGCTTTCTAGTAATTTATCTTACAAACACGGAAATCAAGTGCCTGGATGGCTAAATGCAATCATCTCTACTTAGGACTGTCTGTGCATCAGCTGATCATAGGCACAGAGTCAGAGACCTACTGAAACAGCCGATGTTTGTCTTAAATGACAATGTTTTTTAACAAATGTATCCTTGACAAAAGAAAACTAATATTTTCTTCACTTACATGTAACAAAAACAAAACCAGCACATTCTGAAATATATAATTTATCGCCTCAGTAACACATTATGTATTTGGCAGAAAAGCGTTCTTAGGAATAGGTTTATAGTCATCAACTCAATTTATTCAAACAAAATGAAGGAAAAGAAAATAAATGAGATTAAGATAATGGAAAATAATTACATATTGATTATGTATCAAGAACTGATAAATAATGACAAATTATTCAGTATACCTGGTAATTTTGAGACCTATAATAGTCTAATTTTGTAGCCATGGTTAACATCCCTCTGACATAGTATAGAACTACAATAATTCAAATCTCCCTAAAAAAAGATTCTGGAAAAATGTCACAATAAGTAATTTCTGTTTTGGGACATGCTGCAGACTTTGGTCCCAACAGCTGGCTTTTGAAGTGGAAAGAACAACTAACAAAGATCATTTAAATAATTAAATGACTACAAATGGAAGGATTCACATAATGAATGGTACTGACTTTACAGTTACTTCTAGCCCCATCACTCCATATTAATTAAATAAGCTGATCTTCACAGTATCCCTTCACAGCAGAGAACTAGGAGTGAGAGTAACTCTGTGTCCCTGAAGTCTTAAACTCCCTGGAGCTCAAAGGCAACAAAAATTTGGCATTCCACACATTCTGCTTCTTACCTGTGCATGCCATGATACCACAGCATCTGTGTTGGAAAGCAATTACAGTCCTGTGAACCTCTTAGTTAGGCCCTATCCTGTGCATCTAGCACTGGATCACCTTCTCCTTCCTGTCCCATGGTGGGACAGCTGGTATACAATCTGCCATGTACCTATGACCTTTGCTTAGAAAGGCCTGCCAACAACCATGGTTGTTCCTTGCATAATCCCATGCTTAAAGAAGCCCTTTTTAGGAGGTATGCTGGCCAGGCTACAGATTGACTTTAATTTCTTTTCCAGCAGATTAACTTCTATGGTCCCTCTTTCAAATATGGCATGGAATGCAGGCCATAATTGATGGGTATACCAAGCAGGGTCCTAACTTGAACCAGTAACATCTGCATAGTAGGTGAGTGGAGAAAAGTCAATGGAAGTCTTTGCATAGCATGAAAACAAGGGTATCTGTGTGCCTATGGAAACAGCAGGAGGATGGGTAGACTTCCAACTCCACAACCTTCCAAGCCTGACTCCTCTATTTCTTCCCCCTCCAGTGAACTCATGCTTGGACAGGATCTGTTAACAGCAGACATTCATCAGAATAGTTGTATGGCATTGAAAGAAAAAGATAATTTTCTTAGTGGTTATATATTGCTTGTTTTCTCTAAACAAGTAAGAAAAAAAGAATCAGCACAAAAATAGTGGACTTTCTGCATTTACCCTTAATGTCTGTTGAAGAAATTTGGTGATAAAGTGGCCCATCTGCCAAACAGATTAGAGAAGAATAACCAATCACTATTACTTGTGTAACAGGCCCCGGAGAAGATCCTTTGAAGAGGGTTTATTGCATGGTCTACTAAAGAAAAACAGACTGTGGGAAGAGAAGGTGGTGCAATTAAATTGTGTATGTTTCCCCAGACATTAGCAAAGCACCAAATTGCTGTACTTCTGTGGTTTCTCACCATTAGTTTTATAGGTAATTTAGATGTGAAACAGGATTGGTTTACAATATATTTCCATACCTAATTCTCCATAAAACTGGCTAGAGCTAGAGAGATGATGATGAAATTCTGATGATGATCAAGATGATCATCAAGGATCTCCTTGGTAGGGTAGAATAGGACTAAGCCCTGGATGGGAAAGGAGCCTAGGAACACTTCCTGCATGCCCAGGTCCAATGTGTCCCTGCAAAGAGGAAGGCAGGCAGGAGGGCCAGAAGGCCTGCGTGGATGAGCAGGAAATTCCTGGACACACCTAGGTGTAAAAACAAAATTTACAGAGGGTAGAAGCGAGGCCAGATACGTGGGAGAAGTACAGAGAAGTAGTTAGAGAAGCAAGAGATCAGGTGATGATGCCAAATTGTGTGGTGAGGTCAACACGCTGGGGGGAAGGGATGCCATCCAGAGGGACATTGACAGGCTTGAGAAGTGGGCTTGTGCAAATTGCATGAAGTTCAATAGGGCCAAGTGCAAGGCCCTGCATCTGGGTCAAAGCAATCCTATGCACAAATACAGTCTGGGAGGAGAAAGAATTGAGGACAGCCCAGAGGAGAGGGACTTGGGGGTGGTGGTGGACCAGAAGTTTAACATGAGCTGTCAATGTCCACTTGAAGCCCAGAAAGCCAACCATATCCTGGGCTGCATGCAAAGAAGTTTGGCCAGCTGGGTGAGGGAGGTGATTCTCTCCCTCTACTCTGCTCTGGTGAGACCCCACCTGGAGTACTGTGTCCAATTCTGGAGTCCCCAACATAAGAAGGACATAGAACTCCTCAAGTGTGTCCAGAGGAGAGCCATGAAGAAGATCAGAAGACTGGAGCACCTCCTCTGTGAAGACAGGCTAAGGAGGTTGGGGTCGTTAAGCATAGAGAAGAGGAGGTTCCATGGTGACCTTATAGCAACTTTCCAGTATGTGAAGAGGGTCTACAAGGAAGCTAGGGTAGGGCTTTTTACATGGGTGTATAGTCAGAGGACAAGGGGCAATGGTCTGATGCCTAAAGAGGGGAGATGCAGGTTGGACATTAGGAAAAAAAGTTCTTTCCTGTGAGGGTGGTGAGATGTTGGAACACATTGCCTAGAGAGGTTTGGGATGCCTCCTCTTTGGAGGTCTTCAAGACTGGGTTGGATGGGGCCTTGAACAACCTGATCTAGTGGGAGGTGTCCCTGTGCATGCAGGGGGGTTGGAACTAGATGATCTTTAAGGTCTCTTCCAACTCAAACGATTCTATGTTTCTAAGTTTCACTACACTTCACTGTCAATTCTGAATTTGCCAAAATATTTTGAGATCAGTCTGTCCTTGAAAGTCTGTGTTTGAGGAGGAGGAAGCCAGTGTGCCCACAAATAGTCCATTGAGTGGTTTCTCTCAACCTCTGTAGACTCTGTGAACCATCCTAGGAGCCCCATAGGGATCAAGACAACCCCTGCTTGATCTTGGAGTTGTTAGTTTGGCCTAATATGTCAGCTAACCTTTTCCTGGCTGTCATTTAAAAGCAAAACAAAACAAAACAAAAAAACCAACCCAACAAAAAACCTCAAAGAAACAAAAAACAAACAAAACAAAAAAAGAAAACCCACAAACCAAAGCATTAAAGAGATAAAATACAGAAAAAAAAATTAAGTGGGAAAAGATTTTGATATGTTTCAACTAATTAAGAACACCTGTAATTAAAGGCTGCAAGATTATAAAGATGGTTTAAATTGAAATTTTTGGATGATAATCTAAATAATGTATTTGAAAAAGTAAATGAAAGCCATACCTGGCCATAGCAACCTGCATAATGAATCAGGCTCGGGTGGTCTTTCGAGCAACTTAATTCTGCAATAGCTTCTGTTTCACTCACCATCCACCGAACACACTCCAGCTGACCATTCTAAACAAATAAAAAATAAATATATTACATTTCAGCTCTTTCACTTCTAAACACGTCTACAAAAAGGGAAAACCTTATCAGAATTATTAAAATGTTATAAAATTCCAGGTTTTTTTGAAAATATGTTCTTCTACCTGCTCTCATGTGATGCACACGCTTATCTTGCTGTTCTTGGTCAATTATAGTTTGGCTATTGATTACAGTGAAATAAGCTGTATGAAAGTGGCACTTGTATAGTATTACATACACAATCTGGCTCCTGCTCTCAGATTATTCATACCAAAGCCATAGTTCTGTTTCCACCACTTGTACAGTAAGGCTGTACAAGGCTGCACATTCAATGATTGAATGAGGTGATTTGCTGAAGCAGGGTGAACATCTGATCTACAGACGCAAGGCTTCATTGACCGTTAATTAAATGCATACTTCCTAAATTAGTAAACAACATATGTATGAAGTATCTGAACACCTAAACCTCATGGATTAGGACATATCGGTAATAGATACTGTTCAAACACAAACAAGGAGGTGGTTCTTGACCTGAATACCTATCACAGCCTAGTTTCAAGATTCCCAAACTGCTATGTACACTCCCAGCAGTTTGCAAATTACTATGAAGCAGGATGTAGACGCCTTGGTAACAGATTAACTTTTTATTCAGAGCCTGCTTATGGCCCACAGTAAAGGCAAGAATTTTTAGCAGCTCCTCTTGCTGCAGCCTCTTTTCAGCAATGATATCTTGGTAAATGCAGTTTGACGTGACCTACATTCCAGGCTGCTCTAACCGTTTTTCAACTCTCATGTTCATAAAGGTTATTACATTCTTTATAGCTGAAACAAGTATTTAAATTGCTCCATCAAAATCTCATAGAGGTCAACATACATAACATAAAAGTCTGTTTGTGTGCATAAAGTAATAATAAAAAAAAAATATCATAAGAAGGAAAGAAATATCAAGTTTCAGTTTTATTTTTAAAAAATCAAGAAGAATGCAATAAAAACCAGCCCATTTAAAATTATACGGGAGAAAGAAAAAAGGTAATAAAAGTAATCTGTTTTTTGTATTATTTCTTCCATATGTAATGTATGTATATAAACACAAAAATGCAGATCATTTTACTTTACTTACTTTCCTTTACTATCACTTTCAGTGATGAATTAAATAATGAAACTACTTGCAATGTTTTTATTATGCTAGAAAAATCCTACTTGTCATACTTGGTTTCAAACATGAGTAAGCATGACTAACCAATCATTTTTTTGTTTCCCTTGTATCACAACTGAGTAAAATATTTTTATCTTTTTAAAATTAAGGTAGAAATTTAATAAAATTAAATACCTGTTAAGTAAGTAAATTTTGCTAATATGGAATGGATTTTTCCAGTTAGTTACAATAAACTATCAATATGACAGTGAGACTGGCTGCAACTTCCTGAGCATTGTTATGCATCATCACTAAATTTAAATTCTCTTTCACAGAAATTTATATTCCTGCATACAAGTTTTCTTCTGTTCTGATAGCCATTATCCTGTGGAACACAGGTGCACATCCCACATCATGTAACATTAGTTACAGTACTATAAAGTAAGAGCAAAAACATTTAAGTCCACTCTATCAGTGTGCAAACCCACTTTGGGAGCAAAGATGAAGAGCTACAAAGTTTAATTATGCCAGATTACTTTAAGGCTCTTAGAAAACTTTCAGTGATTGAGGACAAGTACAGCCATGTGGGTCATTCATTAGAAGCACTTGTGCCTGAGCGCCCTCACTTCCATGAAGGACTTCATTAAATTTACACCCTTTCTGTGATAATGTCAAAGCACTCTCAAGTATTATAGAAGCCAAAGGAACCAAGTATTAAAAAGGCCAACCTATCTGGAGAAAAAGGCAAGAAGCTTTATAGGCTTATAAACGCATTATATACCTAAGTTGAAAAAAATAAGAAAGAAAACTATTTCCAACTGAAATGGTGAGAATTTCAACTGGCAGATTGTAACTAGTCAGTTTGGACATGGGCAAAGGTACTGAAGCTAAATACCTTACTTTTAAAATGTCATTGCATTAGTACAACTAGATATCAGTTTAATTTTATATTATTATGGCTTGTTCCAGAAAAATAATTTAAAAATATCCGACCCTGAAACCTGCACTAGGACCCGAGGTAGTTGAAATGGTGTCTCAAAGATGAATACTTGCAGGCTGGGATCAACTAGTCCTCTGTCACTTTCTAAAATTTTTTGCAAAAAGCAAGTAACAATAAAACCTCGAAGAAACAGAAACTCTCATATTTCACCCCTTTCCTTGTTTCTTCTTAAGGTGCTTCGTAGCTAAAAGTAATGGCATTCAACCATTCAGTCTCAACTCAACTATCTAACTTAATTCAACCATTCACTGAATTCAAACATTCAATCTCACTTAAGAAACAGAATCAGTATGGTTAAATTATCAGCCTTCCTGTACAGCACTGTTTTATTTTAGTGCAGCAGCACAAATGATTTTCACATTTTACTATAAAATAAGTATTCCTAGAAGCTTTGACAGTAATTTTTGCAGTGTCTGACAGGTCCTGTAACATGTGCATTTTAACTTCGATGAGATTTTTCTAGACAACCAAGGAGTTTCACCTCCAGATATGGATCAGAGGTTTTTTATGCTTTGTAAACATGTTTTCACACTTGTCTTACAAGATTATACCTGTATTGGTAAAATAAAACACACTGTTATGTTCTCTAAAGAAACAACTGTATCTGAATTAAATGATACATTCCTTAAAATTTACGTTTTTTCAGAGTCAGTTAACTGATTTAAAAACGAATGTATATATACTGACAACACACAAAATGTCAGCGTTTTATAGCTGGTTGGTATCCTGCATGGCAATCCATTTTTACTTGCATGTGTGGTACCAGCCAAAAGTTCTTTTTGCTCCCACTCAACAAAATATTTGAAAAAAACCCCCATATTCTTCTGGATGTATTACTTACTACCATCACAGAAAGAAACTAAATGACCTTTATGTCACATTATGGTAGAGGCAGAGACTAAGTTACCTTTATTGCTAACCCAGCTGGAGTTAGCTGCTCAATGTTTCTTTCATTCAAACAGTCTTCACCCATCAAAGAAGTGAGATGCTGCAGGCATTCTGCATGCCCCTTTGATGCTGCTACATGTAACAGATTGTTGTCACACTCATCATGGATCTTATCCAGATTATCTGCTGCTAAATGTGGCTGTTAAAACAAAACATTATGTTAGTTACAGCTGAGGATAAAAATATAAGCAGAACATTAAGCCTCACAGCCCAAGACACAAACCAAAACCAAAGACGCTTCCCCAAGAGCATGCTCTTTTATAACCCAACCAGTAGCTTTTCACTTCACTATACAGAACCTGGCTACTATTAACAAAAGGACAGAGGTGGGACGGGGGTGCTCACTGGCTTGATTCACTCTGTTTCTCTCCTTCTCATGCAATTATCATACAACAGCACAAGATCTGGAGTAGTTTTAAGTCTTTGTACTAGTTTGATCAATGAAGAAGCTGCAAAAAAAAAATTAATTTCATAATTTCTGTCTATTTTGTTTAGTTTACATCTTTTTTTTCCTTTTTTTTTTTTTTTTTTTTTGCATTAGATTGATGAGTAATTAAATAGAAAACATTCATGACTCCTCCATGACTCCTAAAAAAATCCCTCATCATAAAAGCAGCAGCTTCTGTTAACTGTAATCTAAAATGCAGTTTAAACAATGACAGAAGACTTTTATTTCATAGCTTTTTTCCATGAAAAAAAACGAAGTGATGTACTGTTTATCCAGAGTACTACACAACAATGAATCAATACAATATTTCTTCCTAAATCTAATTTTGAGACAAAGCAATTGTATTGAGAAACTCCAGAAGGAAAATGGAAGGACAACAGAACTCAGAAATAGCAATCATAAGTCCCTAGAGTTGTGCAGGTTTGCCAGACTCTATTTAATTCCATGACCCTACTTAATTCAGAGGTTCTGACCTATTTGAAAAAAATATGCATTTTCTTTCAATCTGCCTACTTATGATGACCTTTTTCTCTCCCAAATATCTGTTTCAGGGTGAACTTAATTTGCTTTTATTTCTTACTGAACTATCTAACATTCTCTTCTGTACAGTTTTTTATTATCTGCCTTTGTTCTTGCTGCTATGTCAATAGCGTGCCTTTGTGGTTGAGTTCAACTGGTAAACAGAGAAGCTAAACAAAAAATCTAACAAAAACAGTTCTTATACTTAGACTGCGTCTCCACCAGCCATTCTGAGCAAAGATCACATGCTCTGCATCATTGTGTTAACTTGCATCTAGTTACTTTGGAAACCATCATTGATAGTGCCTGATCACAATGCTAGATTTTACTAAAAAACTTCATATGGGTCAGAGGCCAATGAGGCTTTAGAGAAAGCTCCTGCCTGAGAATGCTGCTGCAGCAAGACAGTATAAACACTCCTGAATAATAATCAGAATATAACAGAAGCCCCTCTGTTCCCATCATCCGCCTCTAAATAACATCTGAGGTAAACCAGCAATAATTGAACAAAGTGACCCACAAATGCTGGAAAACCAAAAATCAGTAAAGATTTAAACTCAATATTTAAGTGATCGCAATAGTTAAAATGCCTGCTTTCTATATGATTTCAGTTTGCTGCATAAATTAGCAGTTTCCCACAGTCGTGATCACATAAAACTGGTGTCTTGGGTTTTGTTATATATTTGATTTAAAAATCAAAACTTTCCATTTGGCAGCCCATATATTCAATTTCTAAGGAGTGTACATGAAAAAAAGGGTATCGGTTCAAAACATACACTTCATCAGCTTTGCTGGCTTAATAAGCCACCTTACAGATTGCCTTTATTCAATGTATTTTATGAAAAGATGATACTTACCAGTAAAGATATTTGACCTTCCTTTACAATGTTTAGGATGCTCTTAATTTTTTTCATCTCTTCATTCCTCTCTTCTGGGCCTCCTGCACTGCTCCAGTTCATAGTCAGTTCCTCTAGCTGCTTGCTTTCTGCCACTGCTGTCTGCAGGTGAAAAGTCCTCAGGGGGCAGTTTGGCATAGTCTTCTCAGTTTTGTGAGCATGAGGATTAACAAATGTCCTGCTGAGGTAGCCCTTGCCTTGGGCTTCAGATTCATGGACTGAACTACACTTAACTAAAGGCTGGGAAGGCTCTAATTCATCTGTTAAATGCTTGTGCTGATCAAGAACAATGGGCTGCGTTTTTCTCAGCTGAGAGCCTCTCACAGGAGACAGTACACAGAATTGTGTCCCACTGGCAGGCGAACTTTCTGTGTTCCCTGCAGAGCAAGTCTTGCTACTAAGACCATTCACTGTTGAACATACACCCAGAAGTTTTTTCTCAGAAGCTATCTTTGCAAAAGGAACAAGTTGCTGGCTTGATTTAATATAAGGCACATCCAAAATTTCATCCATATCCAGGTCATAGTGCTCCAGCTCCCCAAGGAGAACGGAAGGCTCAATGTTTTTGCTTTTAAGGCTCTCTCCTCCTGGGCTCTGGTCATCACTTGGAGGTGCAGATTGAGAATCAATGCCTTTCAGGTATTCTCCCTTCTCGTTCTTCTGGTCATCACTTTCATTGTTCTCAGAGCTTTCTGGCTGGTGCTTTAACGGGGAAACTCTCTTCACTGGTCTGAATTTATTATTGCACACATCTGCAATTCCTGTTGGTTTCTGTGCATTTCCGATAAGAGTTGAGACTCCACAGTTCCAGCTGCTGCTGGAAACTAGAGACAGAGGAATGTGACTTACAAGTGATTACTACCAGACGTGTGACATGATTTAGCATGCTTTAAAGATATACCTGGCCAAATACTGGAAACAATCTAAGCAGATTTAATTGCATCTCTATCAGAACAGATGAAGAATTTGACACTCCAGAAAAGAAACTCTTCCAACAGGATATACATTGTAATTACTTAAAAATAAAGTAGTTTTACAAAAGTAATAGACATCAATAACAGCCTAGTGGCATTTACAGTGCTCTAGTCCAACAATGCTAGTTTGTACTCCACATTTTTTTATTGCATGGAGATGCATCACAAGTTAACAAAAAGGTTAATCAAAACTTTTTAGTGGATTTTTTTTTTTTTTAACAACAGTAACAACAGTTTAATTTGTAAGGCCTGTTATCTCTGTGAGATGTATGTGTGAACTGGAAATTCATATGAACAGTGACTGAGAGCTGGGACTTTTTAGTCTAGAGAAGTGAAGGATCAGGAGGAATCTCATTAAATAATGGGAAGTAATGAAGAGGGAATGAGGCTTTTCTCCATGGAGCACACTCCATCTGAACAGGAGAAAACATCTTTTTACTGTGAAGTCTGTCAAACATTGCCATAGGTTGCCCACAGACATTGTGCAATCTCCATCTGAAGATACTCAAATCCAGCTGGACACAGTTCTGATCATAACCTGGCCTACACG